ATCCATCAAATTCAATAATGTAGCTACCATTATTTGAGATATAGTTCTTCACCTCTGCCTTTCCGTGCAGTGCAATGGCATCCAACTCATCAATGAAGACCTTTGAAAGCATAACCATCATTTAGCCACCTAGGAATAGAAGTTAAAGTAAACTGAGGCTCAGAGAAACATGACATTTTATAGTTCCAGATAACAGATTTCAAATTTAAACGTGATGAATCAGTTCGTAGACAAATGATAAGGAAAGCCAACTGTGAAGGTCAACACCTTCATTTTTGTTTTTATGATCTTGTTTCCCGCGCATTGTCGTCAATAAGTCATCCAAGTGCCGCAAATTGTCTGAGAACACTACATTAGAATGAACGTTTTTCATAGCTAACCAAAGGATGCCATTTCTAACAACAATAACTTGAACCTTACTCTAAATTTGTTTCTTTTTAGAACAAGTGTATTCAGCAGCTTGTTTGGTTTGAAACAGGGCGAGACCCTGAAAAATTAGAGAAGAATGATGAAAAAATTCGAAGAGAGAAGATATCTAACCACGGCAGGTGCAGATTGACAGGCCAAATCAAAAACTGTCTCCATCATACTGATTTATTATTGTCTAAGAACCAAATCAATTCTTAGATTTAACATGTTAGGTGAGATTTATGATATAATTTATATTATTATTTTTATCATATCTTTTCCAATAAAGTTAATAAAAATTTTGAACTTGTAATCATATGATTAACACGATTATGATATTATATTAAAAAATTAAATTAAATCTTAAAAGATATAATTTATATTATTTTCAAAAAACTCCCCCCTGCCAGGCTGAAACCTGGAGAAAAGAAAGCGTGAAAGAGCAGGACATCAAATGACAGAACAACTAATGACTTCACGAGGGAGAGGGTAAAAACGATACTTTTCTCTCTGTAACAGCTTGAATTGATTTGTAAAACTGTTAGCTTGAATCAAGAAATCATTAGAGCTTTAACAATTATTATGAATTTACAAATTCAATCATGATTTGATGAAGGCTAAGCTCTATGTATAATCACCCTGTAACTGTAAGTACTCATTTTCAAGAAAAATTATCCTGCTTTACAGAAATCATTTTTCAACAATGCCTTTCCTGTTGAAGGATTAAATGCTCACAATTCGAACCTCCTAGAGGCTTCAAACCAAAATGAAATAGGTTTCATATCATAGGTCATCCAGGACAGATATTTAGAACAATAATCGATCCTTGCAGAAATATAATCTGATTATCCTATGAAATTGGCATCATTCACATAATGTTCAAGGACACTGCTTAAACACGCCAATGCCAAACTTTTGTGTGTTTGCTTTCAAACCTCACAAGAAGGAAAACCATCTCAAGAGCAAAGTAATTCCCTGCTTCATTAGCTATTTCATCCACAGATTCCACCTCGCACTGTGTGGTCCATTCATGGGATAACGAGCTGAGAGGAAAACTTCTACTTGAAAATATCCTTTCCACAGCAGCAAGCGAAACCTACAATTTTACCACAAAGACAACTTCAGCAACAAATTTTAAACCTTCATTAAAATAATTATTGGTAAACCAGGAGCAAGGGAAGAAGAAACCATGGAAGATTCTGAAAGCCAAATTTTCAACCTCTGACAGCAGTAGTTGACTCGGCTCAACTTCATTGATTCTACCAGTAAAAACAGATTTCCAGATCAAAGACGGATATTTACTGGAAGCTTCTTCTTAAGACAACAAGATATCTTCTTGTTCACTAGCCTCTGAGTCTACAGCAGATGCCACTAATGGTGTTCTAGGAGATGAGGCAGACTCATCAGCATTCGATAGCCTCGATAACGTCTTCGAATTCTTCTTTGTCTTTGGAGGCATCTGTTACTTAAAAAATCTCTAGAAAATACAATAAAAGGAATTTAGTATCATTAATCCCTTTCATGGATTAAAGTGATATTCCAAATTACTAAAGATTAAATATTTTAGCTGAACAAAAAAGTGCACTTTTCTCGCTAGAATTCCTGTAAAACATGTTTTGCACTATTTAACTTTTCATATATAAGAAAAATGTTGTAAATTGAGAAACAGGAGAGAAAAAAATTGGAGAAGAGATGAAGAAGGAACCTGATTTCTTGGTTTTTGAGTTTCTTGAGAACCATGAAGGAAACGGTTAGGCTTGAGAGATGGGAGGTTGAGTTCCCCAGTTCGGCAAGAAGCTGCTCGGTATTCCTCCGGTAATACTAGTGTGGAGAGACTAGGAGAGAGAGGAGAGGGAGACAGAAAGGGGAAGATTAAAACCATTGTTGACGGCGAGCAGGGTTTTCAGGTCTTCTTTGGCTTTATTAGGCCTTAAAAGGCAATAAGGCCTATCCTCTTTGCTGATTACTCCAATGATTTGGCCTGAAGGAAAAGCCTTAAGTTTTTTTCTTCGAAGTACTAAAGGAAGAGGTGAGGCTACAAAGAACATCATGATGTAGCTTTCCTTATGGAACAAGTCTATAATTTTCTTTGATCCATGCAAGGAGTTTACCATAAGCCAATATGCATTACCTGATGTTTGCCTCACTAACCAATTAATCTGACAGTCTATCCTTGTGGGACTCTGATCCATTACATCATTAACAGTTGCTTGTTATTGTTTTTATATATGGTTGAGAATATGAACCACAATCCTTGTAAGACCTCTTCCAACTGGTTTCTGATTGGCATGCATCTAATTTTGCATAGTTTTATTTAAACCCCTATGGGGTAGGAAAATTGTCAGTTGATGGGAGACAAGGCAAGCAGAGAATTTTTCCTGAATAGTCCAATAATGAACTGGATGATTCTGACAAGTTGAGAAAATGATTCCTACAAAGCAGGAGGATTGTGAAATATATGCTAAGCTTGGAAATAAAGTTTTGTTTTTATCTCAAGAAAATTATAGTTTCAAAAACAATATAACGAGATAAAGAATGACAACACTAAGGGCCAATACATCCAGGCTGCCTTAGATTTTTCCTAGAGGAAAATCTGAAAGCAACCTTCTGTTTTCGACCAGGTACTTTTCATTGATTTTAGTGTTCCACAGATCTTTGCACTAGGAAGGGTAAAAGGTCAAAGTGTGTGATGCACTCTTAGTCTTAATCAGTTTCTGTTGATTGTTGTGATCATATATATGCTGGCAGTCTAATTGTTACGCAGATTGACTGATATTCTTTGCTATTGTTTGTTATTGGAATCTTCTAAAACCACTGTTTCAAATGCATGAATTTTCCCTAGTTACAAATCATGTCAAAAAAGGAAGTCTATTTCTTCGATCCAAGAAGGAATTCGACACGAACTGAAGTTTGCCTCACATGCCAGTCTTGTAAATCTGATGCTCTCAATAGTCTACCCTCGATCCATTTCCTTGTTTTGTCAACTTGGGTGTACAATAACTTCTCCACTGGAAGTAAGATGCATAGAACATATAGCAATGGCTGAACACAATTCAGAAAAAATTATAAAAGCTATAGATGCTATTGATAATGAACCAAAGAACACTGCGCTCCTACAGAATATAGAGGCAACGACTGGAGACCGAAGACACTTGAAACAGGCTACTTCAATTCCATAAGCCAAGCAGTATGCTAACAAACAACTGAGGCCAATCCACATGTTAATGGGGTGAGTATCAAATGGAGAATAGTCCTTTCCTTGATACATCAATTCAAGAAAGTTAAGAAGGACAGGGCATGATGAAGGTGAAAACAGCGTGGAGTGAATTTGGGGTGGTGAGCCGATCTTGTTGATCATAGTTTCTTGCAGTCATTAACGCAATGTTCAGTGAAACTTGCCTCTGTGGGAAGAACATTTTTGAGGAGTAAGGTGAGGAAAGTTAGACTACCTTGGCTCAGAAATATGCTTTTGTTTCACAGGTTTGGTGGGTTTGGTTTAAGAAACCAAATGGGTTGATGTGTAATGTTTCAGAGGAACTCTTATCTTCTAATTTATAGTTGGTATCCAAGCCGTCATTCAAGTTGGAATCCCAGGCATTGTCCAATGGCCACAAACACTAATTTCAATGGTCCCTGGACCAGGTTTGTTACTTAGATTTCACCAATTATTTCCATGGGATATGGATCCTTCATTCCTCTACAACAACAAGTTTTTTGGTCAAAACTTTATAAGGAATAAGGACAATGACAATCTTACAAGAACTTGAAAAGCAATTGATGCTAGGTATTCGAAGAAACACGTGGACAGTATGCAGATATATCTTACTCTAACAAGAAATGGGTGTTTCTTGTTATTGATTACTTGACAATATTGCAACCTACAAGAATGTCCCAGATTGGTCTATGTTAGAAGTGAACTTTGGCCTGTGTAGATGCAAAGCTTTTGTTGTTAGAAAGACAAGGAGCAAGGTATGAAAGTTCCAGTCTAGATGGTATAAAACATAGACAAGTTAATGCCTTGGTGGCTCAGCCCAATCTTGCAACCAAATTTCCAGAGCAGAACAACCAAAAACGTAATACCAAAGCGCAATAGCATCAGCGACAAAAAAAAAAAAAGGAAAGAAAGAAAGAAAGAAAGAAAAGAGTTCTACACTTCGTAGATTTGAATAACCGAATTGTAGTTGAACGGATGTCTTGAACATCCGTTTGAATTTCAACCGAATATTCGCGCTAATGGGGCATGAAAAATATGTTTTTTTTCTTTAATTTTGTTTCTCTATCCTACCTTGCATTTGTTAACCATCCGAACACAAAGCCTTTGTGATTGGAAAAATTTCATTGAAGAAAACTACATTGGATTTGATGTACAATAGCATCAACAATTGTTAAAATAATTGCATTTTGCTTGCATATTAAGGAAGTTATGTAATTGAACTATATTGATAAATTGATGAACGAATATATGATTTACCCAAAAAAAATCACTGAGATTCAGTTACATCTGCAGCTAGAGCATAACTAACATGAACTAGGATTGAATTGTCTGTACAAAAGAATTAAATCTTGTATCAATGTTGATTACAAGCAAAAAACTAAGGCCTCAAAATTCCATTGGATCCACTGATTTGTTCTACATTCTTCTCCTTCCACAAAGATTTCTTCCTGATTTGATCATTCTCGAATTGCCTTTGATTGCTTGCCATCTCTTCTGCTGTCATAGTCACGAGTTTCTCTGGCTTAATCTGTCCAAGAAGAACTTTCCTTCTCAAATCTGGATTCTTTGGATCCTTCATATTGAACAATATTGACCTGTACCTCAATTGTTTGGTGCCACTGAAAAGCCCCATCCTTTCAAACATCAGTGATTCAACATCAGCAGCAACAATAATTGGGTCACGCACTCTTACTTCTTCCATCAAATCCTCTTTAACCTCCTTTGCAACTCTGCCCAATGACTCCACAAGAATGTGCCTGACCTTGCTACGCAAGCCATCACTGCACTTGACAGGTTCTTCTGATGGTTTCTTGAAACTACAGGAATCTTTCACATTCTCTTGCCTTGTGACGCGCTTGGTAGATGGTTTCTTGAAACAGCGCCTGATAATTTGTACTTTCCCTGGCTTTGTGCAGCGCATGGCAGGATCTTGTGGTGGTTTCTTGAAACAACCGAAACCATTTTCTCTCTCTTCTTTTATCTTCTTCTCCGTCTGAATAGGCATGTTAACTTTAACCCTTCCTATTACTCTTCCGTGTATCTTGACAAAAAGAGTCCCCGTTCTTGACCCACTTGTAGATTTTGTTGGCTGAGTTTTACCATCAATGGCAGGGTTTCTTTCGTACAGATTCCTACACCAAGCATCCAGCACGCAAGAAGCAGCAGTTCTGATCATCTTTACACGGTGTTTTGTGAGATATTGAACTTCTTTTGCAACAGGAGTGGAGACAAGAACCCTGGATGATGTTACGGGGAACCTCTTAAGCTGGTCCAAAGCATCTAGGCATTGATAAACTTCAGGAAATATTGAAGCAGAAGTGGCCACAAGGGCTGCAGATTTCTTTGCTGACTCAAACAGCGACAGAAACTGTTTCTCCATTGATAACTGGTCTTATCAACTAGGGTTTAATCTAAAGAACTACAAAAAAGGCAAGACAGAAGACTAAACTGAAAATGTAGGTTTAATTTCTTTTGGGATGTGGGGTCTTGTGATGGAAACGTTTCTTTTTATAGGCATGAAGGGTCAATCCTAGTTTGATCCTGAATCCGATTGCTTAACGAAGACCATGTGGGAGTTTTCCAATTAAATCCTTACAAAATGGGGATCCCAGCAGAAATCCGATTGATTTGAGGAAACAAAGGTAGAAACTTTTAGAATTTAATCCTTGAGATTACTTTCAATTTTTGAAGGAAAAAAAAAAGAAGTTAATAGGGCATTGCATTTTCAGGCCAAAATTGTTGAGTCTGGCATGTCTCTGCTGCAAGTCTCAGGAATCGTTGTCATTACTGCTTCCTGAGTTTGATGTCTCCAATTTTTCTTGTGATGTTTTCTGGATTATTCCAACTTCCATTTGTCCTTAAGAAATAGCTTGTGTTCAGGATTGGAAATTCTTCCATAATACTTTGATAACAACTTAATGGCATCCATACCAAAGAGTATTACACGTATAGCTAGGTTAATTACCCTCTCTCTAAATCTCAATCGATTCTCTTAAACTTAATATAATCTAAAAAATTTATAATTTGTTAGATCATAAACCCAAGTTCAATAAAAAAACTTAAATATTTTTTAATTTAATTTTAAATGATGAAATCATTAAAAAAAATATTAATAAAAAACTTATAAAAAAAAGAGTAGCAAAAAAAAAGCTTAAAATCTAACATGAAAAAACCCAATTAGGATGAAAATTGAAAAAAAAAATCCCAAAAAAATGGCAATTAAAACAATTGGGACCAAACTTGAAAGATTAAAAAATTATAGGAGTGAAATTAAAAATTATTTGTAATATGATTGATTATTTGTAGATTAAAAAAATGATGGAGGATGAAATAGAAAAAAATTGTTGAAAGCGTACCTAAATATTTTATCCATATTCAATCAAGAAGCATAATCTCCAACCAATTTAATTTTAAATGAAATTGCTAGAAAAATATTAATAAAAAAACATACAAAAACAACAAAAAAATTAAAATAATAGGAAGCAAACTTTAAAGATAAAAAAAATCAATGGGTGAAATTGAAAACACATGTAAAAACCATGCAAAACCAAACAAACATCATAAATATGATTAAATCTTAAAAAGCTTATAGCTTATCAAAACCTAAATTTGTCTTATTAAAAGAGGTATTATAAGTCAATTTAAAAATATAAATTTGAAAAACTTGTCAAAGTCAAAAAAATAACTAAAAAAGTCTTGAGCAAACCCGGCAACCAATCCTAGCCAACAAATCAAACACATAACATAAGACATGAGACTCAAATAATGTAATAAATAAGAAAACTTAAAAAATACATATAAAAAGAACATTTAAAAAATGCTTTTGAAAAAAACAAAAGTCGACTCGAGCTGATTTTTTAGATCTATGACCTGGGTCATGAGACTGATGTGACCTCTTCAAAGGAAAATCCAGAAAAAACAAAGAAGTCAGATTCTTAACTAAGCAAATATCAAGGGATAAAATTGAAAAAAAAACTATAAAAAAAACAATACAAAAGAAAAGAAAAATAGCAATTAAAAGAATTAGAACTAATTTGATATAAAAATCAAATGAAATTAAATATTCAGTGATGAAATTATAAAAAACCAATCCATTAAGAAAATGATTAAAAAATAGCAATTAAAAAAAGCATGATTAAATCTGACACAAAAATTAAATGAAAATAAATTAATAGGGGTGGAATTGTTAAAAAAACAAATCAATTAAGAAAATAATTTAGAACAAAATAAATAGCAATTAAAAAAAACAAATTTCAAAAATCAAATGACTAGGGATGAAATCAAAAATAAAATCAAATTGGAAATAAACAATATAAATTAAAAATTACAATTAAAAGAAAAGGGATTGAATCCAAAAAAAAAAAATTGAAGGACTGATATAAGTTTTTTATGATCAACATGTAATCCCAGGAAGAAAAGGAAGGAAAAGGGAAAAAAAATCATTCTTGACCATTTCATCAAACTATCATACACATGTCAACGAGGAAGAAAAAGGATGCCAAGATGAATCCATTAATGCGGTGGAAGCGCATGTCAACCAGGAAGAAAAAGGATGTCAAGATGAATCCATTAATGCGGTGGAAGCGCCATTATAACTATTGGTGTCAATCGTACGCATTGATGCGTGATTTGTATACTCTAATAGTTTTTTTTGTTTTTTTATTTATTCAAAACTAAAAATACCCTCAAGATCAATTAACAATAACAAACAAACCATGAAGAAATTATTATCAAGCCCTAAAATCCAAGACTAAAAAATTGAAATGACAAGGGTAATACAACAATTTCATTGTTCTAGCAAACAAGAAAATACGAAAACATCCTTATATAAAAGACATTAGATTATTTTTAAAAAAGTTACATTAGTTATTTTACTAAATATTTTAAAATTTAGTTATTAAAATAACCCCTCTCAATTCTTAAATATGTTTATGTTATGGGAAAAAAACCACTCTACCCCAAAAGCAAAAGCAAAGGTAAAAAAGAAAATGATCAACAAGCAATATGATAATTATATTATTGTAATGAATAATAAATTTTGTCTTGAAGTACAGTAATATCATCATGAATTTTAGCTTTCTTGTTGGTAAAAATAAAATCCCAGCAACATCTTTTGAGTTTAATTAATTTGGACATGTTCTTTAAATGTATGAATCAAAAAATTGAGTGAGAAAACAGTTCATGTCCGCCTGATTCCCAGTTTTGAGAACATCAATGCTGCATTTCTTTCTTTGGTATTGCTTTGGCTAACTTCATCGGGTCCATTGGTTTTACTCTGATGCAATAATCAAGTCATGTTTGTAGTCAAAAGGTAGAGGTACAGACTTGAATGCGCGATACTTGCCAACGTTATTCAAATGTTCATACTCCAACCTGATCAATCACAAGAATATGAACAGGATTAGCCACAATATGCAATTTACAATGAAGTTGGGAATTTTACACAAAATCAATGTTACCTGAAAAAGTTCCATAATCCGCGACGAATAATCTCCAAGCTAGCAACAACTGCAATTATGGCTTGTCTATGTAGGAACGGCACTCGGAAGTTCAGTACAGTTTGCAACCAGGCAAATCTCAGGAATACATTCAGAACCTGCAATTTTCGCCAACGTAATACGAATTAGTTATCAGGAAAGACTCTGGTGCTAATGCATGTAACTAATTTGTAAACCTGGTTTATGTTTTAATGGTTTTCATTTTATGTAATTGTTCTTCGTTTTTCTGTTCTAACTCACCATTGCTCCAAAATATACACTTCTGTAAGGGATAAGGAGTTTGTCTCTTAGCAACCAGTTCGTAGACTGAGTTTGCAAAAGCCCCCAGTCCATGACTAGGTCCCAATATGTACCATAGACAGCTGCAATTACTGAGAATATCCAGGCTATTATATTCCTGCCCAGTCCTTTTTCAAAACTATATGCAGTCCTTGTGCTTACAGCAATAATTGTGCAGAAATACTTGAGACCATTATATCCTTGCTTCATGTCCTTCTCTTCGAAGAGGCGTCGAAGACACTGAAAATTTGAAAAGAGAGCTGTAAGTGCCAAGCCCAACCACGTAAGTTACAATTTCAGAGCAGCTCATGCATACCTGAAGGAGACGAGACCAGTAAGGAATCACAGCAACAATGAAATAGAAAGTGCTGTATATATCACTGGTTTTACAGGTATTTTGTCTCCGCTTATAGTCTCCCCAGCCATAGTAGCATATGTAGAATTCAAAGCTTCTAAGGGCTTGCACCTGTATTCAAACAATGAGGGATGCTCATTGTCAAAGTGGCAGTATTTGTATGGTGATTTAAGGCATATAAAGCACTGGTTTCTCTACTGACCTGGCTAGTTAACTGGTCAGCCAAGAAGAAATCTTGGAAGGAGACCTGCAATTGAGAAATTATAGATAAATAGGTTGATCCCTTTTATATTTCCTACTCTGCTATAAGTGTGACTAATTACCTTGTATAGAGGAGCACAGATGCAGTGAAACAAACTTGTGATAAAGAAGAAGCGACTTGTACGATATATAAAGTTGAAAGGGAAGAAGCAGATGACAAGTACAAGCTGCAAAGACCAGGGAAAAAGGAACTGGTTGAGCATACTGCACATGCATTTATAAATCTGGCAGGGGAACTAGCAGGTATGTTGGATTGCTCCACTTTTCTTACCACAACCAAACCTAGAGGTACAAGTTCTGTCAATGCTTTGTAATCTTTCGTTCTGGGATCCATTTCCATGTCAAGGTTTGCAAGCACGCTGGCTAGCGCCAACACTGCTAGGCCAAAGCCTAACATCAGAACATCTCGATAACCCAGTTCTGTTCCTTGTTTGAAGCCAAATATGAAGGTATAATTGATCCGATACCGCCTCCAGAAGTATATATTGGCAGCATACATAAGCATATGTAGAACAACAAATGCAAACAGGCTGCAAACAAGTATGAAATGACTTGTTAAATAAATTGCTAAGGTTTATCATGAGAAAGACAATATGGGGTTCTGTTAATTCTTGATTCCCTTAATTTGCAAAGGTGGTGTATAAATTAGGAAGCGCAGATGCTTCGAAACCCCTCTCTGTAACATACCTGTAAAGAGGAAACATATTTTCCATGTACTGGTGTTTCCCTTCCTTATTCAGAAGATCTCGAACATGTATGATTAATACAAGAGCTAGAATGAGAGCCAATGTGCAACCAACAAATAGGCCTGGAAAAGTTCCCACAAAACAGATTCAGTAACAAAAGTAATCACAGAAAATTGGCCTTGTAAGTTCAGATTACTTTTATTTAGATTCTTACCAATGGAAAATGATATCCTATGTCTTTCTTTCTTAGCTTTTGGTCTTAATGTGTCCATAGCTTTCCTTCGGTCTGAATTGGAGAAGTGTTTGGTGAAAGTTAATTCAACTCTCTCCATAAGCTTGATTACCTGCAATAGCACATCCTCAAATCAGATTACAAAGGTTTAGAACATAGAAGAATGAATTCATGGATATTGATTCATGACTTAGAACATGGAAGAATGAATTCATGGATATTGATTCTTGACCGACATGAATAGATATTATCTTACATCATCAGAGCTGCCAAGATGGGAGAAATCCATCATACTCCTAAAGCTATTTAATGTGCGCTTTGACGTAATCTGCAATGATGAGAACAAAACAGAAAGTCAGGTTGGTGTTAACTTCTAATTACAAAGCTTAGCGTATGATGAGAGGGAGATCTGTATTTTAACATGGAATCTACCTTGTCATATTTCTTCACTATTTTTGAAAATGCTTGGATATTCAAGTAGCTGTTTTCAAATGCAAACAAGAGAATTTAGTAGAAGTTAAGGAAAGAGGAATACAGCATCTCCAGACTATAATCCAGATAGCCAAAAAAGCAAGTTTATGAACGAAATTTATTACCTATAGTTCTTTAGAAGCTGAAGCTTGTAGTAAAATTCATTGATAGCCAGCTTGAGTTGTTTTTCAGCTTTCTTTAGATTTTTCTTACTAAACTTTGGCTCAGTTTGATTAGAAATGTCAAAGAAGCCTTTGATGGTTGAACGAGGAGTTTCAGGAGATCTTTTCAATTTCACTTGATTAAGTAGTTCTGATGAAGCTGCTTTCCATCTACTGCTGTTCTTTAGTTTCTTTTCATGATTCTCTCCACGCATAGAATTGGTATGCTTATCATTTGTGCCATCATTTAAGTCATCTAGTTGCCTTCGATTCGACTGTGAAGCCTCTATAACATCCATGGAGATAATTCCTGCAGATGAAGCAGAATATATCAGTTCAAATAACCGAAAAAGAACCAATAATTTTTATATTGAAAAAAGTAAAATGCAGAACTGAAAATTGCTAGCTCCATGATAAGAACTTACTACTTGATCCAGCAGCAGCAACATCAGAACCGAGACGATTCGAGTCACCATACTTATTAAACAATCCCTGTAAGTTCTCTGCTTTTACACGAAAGGCAATCAAAGCATCCATTTGCTTACTCAACATTTCAGCTTCATCCATCACCTCTTGCACCTTAGACTTGTAAAATCTGTCAACTTTATCAAACTCATCGCCAAGCCTTTTCAAGAACACTATTTCAGGTTCACCTCCTCCCTCGGCAGCCATGAGAAAAAATGTTTCATAACTTTCAAAGGCAGTTCGTTTCAAAGAATTCTCCCGAATGGCTTGGTTTTCAATGTTCTCAGAGCCTGCAGAATGCTTCTGCCTTTGTATTAGACCACTGTAAGTTCTGTAAAGAGTTAAAGCTCGGTTCAGGTCACCTTGTTGCTTCTTTCTTTGCTTCATACGCTTGGTGTCTTTCAAAAGGGTCTTTAAATCATCATAATCCATGTAAGCTTCTTCCCATTCTGGCACCATTTGGGAGGCAAATTCTTTCCCAAACTTCATGTTTGAAAAACAGACGAAGTTTCTTGAAATTTTATTGTGTCTATATGGATCTTCTTGAAAAAGAATGAAAGCAACCAATGAGAGATGTTGTTCTGCTCAAGTATCTATCATATATATTCTCATATCTTCACTGTTTTTCCAGCTTCCATGAATCTGATGTACAATTGGATCCTTGAGCATCAATAATTTGACCATCTTAACAACATTTCTGACCTTCAACTAATAATATTTTTTTCTCCCTTTTTCTCCTACTTCACCTCATGATTGACTTCCTGTCTCTTTCCTTCATTTATTGTTTTAAATGAGGCTTACCCTATCTAATACAAATAATCGACAATGTGTTTGTTCTGATACATGCTATAGGTAGGTATATTTTGTGTTGATGGGCTCTCTTCCAAGCCTCAAACAAATTGCACACGATTAATGTTCCTAGAAACGTAAAAAAAATTATCCATGAAAATCAATCACGGACAATTTTTTTTTTTTTCAAAGTTATTTTCCAGGTTTTTTACCCCACTGGAGTGACCTGTCTTTTGATTCTGTCATTTTTCAGCTTGTTGACAGGTTTTTTACCCCATTTGGGTGACCTGTCTTTTACTTGTAACCTTCCATTATTAGCATCCTCGTCCTTATCAGTTGTTGCCTACCTATGAGCATGTCTGATTAATGTTCCTAGAAACGTAAAAAAATTATCCATGAAAATCAATCACGGACAATTTTTTTTTCAAAGACCTTTTGATTCCGTTATTTTTCAGGTTCTTTACCCCACTGGAGTGACCTGTCTTTTGATTCGGTCATTTTTCAGCTTGTGTTTTTTCCCTCATTTGGGTGACCTGTCTTTTACTTGTGTAGCCTTCCATTATTAGCATCCTCGTCCTTATCAGGTGCCTACCTGCATGTCTTTTACGTTCTTCCAAAATCTTTCTTGCCGTCAGTGGGCCAATATTTCATTGAAAATATTTAAGATAGTCGTATTTTTCTTTTATTTAGTAGGAGTGGCCTAGTGCTTGTCACTGCGCAAGTGGTCAAAAAAAGAATATGATTGGAAAAGCCACCTGCTCCTATTACCCCATGCGCAGCTTCCAGGTGATGCGTGGTGCAAAAATGGATAAAAAACATAGCTAATTATTTATTATGTATCTGGTCCGCTTGCAAAAGGGAGGCTAAAATTTGTGGAAATAAATTGAAATGGTCTCCTCTTCATTCAGCTTGCTTAAAACAATCAATGACACTTTCTCAAATTTGAGAGTACGAAATTTAAGAGCAGAAAAGAAAATTATTGCTCATAGGCGGCAACAAACAAATTGATCTAATCCAACAAACAAATTGGTTCATATACTCTCTATGCTGCTCACATAAAGCAAATGTGAGAATTTCAAACTAATTAGAAGCTTTGTTAACTTCGTTGATTTAGAAGCTTTGTTAACTTCGTTGATCATTAACTCAAACCACCAGGCAACAGACTTTTGGCTGGTGGAAGTAGTGCAACAGCTCCTCGCTCAGGCTTTGAGTACTTCCTGTACACAGACTGAAGTCTGTGTTCCGCGGCTTTCGAATGGAAATACACCAGCAATCCAGCACAATCCCTGATTTTAAGACAAAGAAATATACCAAAATCAAAATGAAATCACACTGTGGACCAGTGAAATCTTGCTGGTGGAAAAGTTAAATAAAGACTTACTTAAGTTGTGGTTCTGAGAAACCAGTGTGCTTCTTAAGGGTGTCAGTCCAGGAAGGGGTTTTATTTAGAGTGCATCGAGCCACATATACTGCTGAGGCAGCAACCATTGATGGACAAAACATGACTGTGTCATAATGCATCAAGCCCAACTCAGCTAGAAAATAGACCATGTTCTCCACCTAGACAAGTCAAAAACAATTGCAGATATATAAGTAACCTTGCATATGGCCAGATAGTAGAAAAAATTATATTAAATGGGAGTATAGATTGTAAATCATTAGACTTAAGAGTTTTCTAACTCACTCCGTTCTCAGGAATTGATGCCTTAATGAAGCGAGCAAGGAAAACATAGTGTGTAGGCACTGTCAGTGTCCATTCCAGGTTTGCCAATATAGTCTTCTCCATAACTAGAATCTGTTCATGAGTGTAAGCTCTGTCTGAAATGCACACCAAGTCATTGACCTGAAAGTTTCAATTCATTGAACACTTTAACTTTCTGGAAAAATAATCTACTTGATAAATTAAAGAACGAAAAAATGATATACGAGGATTTTTTAATTACCTCAGGAGCCCATATCTCTTCATACTTTGAGGCCATAAGCGTGGCACTCATGCCCACAAGCTGCAATTCCTTTCTGGGAACAGTCTTCACAGAAAGGAATCTATCAATGATATTGATTGTGAGATAAAGAGTTTCGGGTGAGAGCTCAAACTTGTGCTGCACGTCAATCAACCAATCCACAAGAATGGCTCTCATTTTCTCATTAATCTCGGGCTGCCTGTCCATGTAGTCATTGGGCCGGCTCTCATTCTGCATCACAATATCAACAAACACCAGAACATTATGCAAAGATGTACACTTTATACAAGCAGCCAAGCACACACAAAGGAACTTGTAAATGTCATGCACTCTTTATACAAACCTCAACTAGCTTGTAGAACTTGTAGATGTCCTCGACGTATTCCACCCCAGCCAAATCATTGTTAACATCTGCTGCATCAATATCAATAACCTGCCCCTTTGGTTTGTTTGCAACACCACAAGCAGCCTGAAATAAGTACCAAGTTAGCACAAGAAAACCCTGTATACCAACAAAAAGTTGCAATGATAATCACCTTGCTTCTAGCAGTGAGGACAGAAGAAAGAGTTGGCTTGTTCTTCTTCGAAGATCCTTCTCCTTCCTTTTTCTTGTTCCCTGGCTTCTCTTCAGTATCAGGGCTTATCTCAGTCACCTCTTCAGGCTTTGGTTTCACAGTAACTTTCTTCTGAGCTGGCTTTCTCACTGCAACTTTTCTAGCCTCTGCGGCCACTCCATCAACACCAGCAGCAGGCACTTTTTCCGCTTTGACACATACTTGTTTCTGCATTCAAAGAAAACCCAGAATCCTACTCAGTCCGGAAATCAAACACACCTAGAATCTAAAACCTGCAGTCTATCAATTTGAACACTAAAAACTGGTCAAAAAAGATTATCGAACCTTGTTGTTCTCTGCAGCTGCCGCAGCTTGAGCATTGGCAAGCAGTTGAGCACCGAAACTCCTAATAAAAGAACAAAAATATCAGCCAAGAAGGAGCAACTTGGACTACAATTGCTCTTCTATTAGTCTAAATTATCGAACCTAAAATCAGCCAATTTTGACTCCAACAAACATCAAATAGGTTACTGAAAGATAGAGAGAGGAACCTTGTGACGGGGCGATTAGGCTGCTGCCTGCCTTCTATTCCTCGAACTGTAACAAGATTACCAATATCGCCAAGAACCCGGCGGTTTTTTCCTTCAGCCGCTGCTGCAATTTTCTTCACATTCTTGTTTACACCTACAACTGCTTCACCTGTGACAGATTATCAGTCATTAGAATCCATCATCTATTCATTGTAAACCATTGGATTCAACAAACATATAATAAAATATTGAAAGAAATGAACTCTAGAAGGAAACAAAAAAAGGTCAGTTAGTCTTTTGTGGGTTCCTTTATTTTTCTCAGTAACCAAACATAAACTATAGCGAAAACAAACCAAACAGGAAATAGAGAAACGAAAAAGAAAAATCGACCCCCTAAATCTAATCTTTTTCATCAAAAAACAGTAGAAGGTAAATTAAACCCATATAAAGATTGTAATCAATCAATTCTGTAACTAAAAACACCCAAAAGGAAAACAATAGATTTATTTTAAAAATAAATAAATAAAACTAGATAAAAATTAAAGAATCATCACGGCTACCAAAAAATCATTAATAAATACAAAATAAAAACACCAAGAAACAACAGATTTACATGTAATCACAATGGGCCCATTCCTATTAGCAAAATGATTAATCAAAAACCACTAAAGAGAGAGACCCCATTATGAAGAAGAATTAAAGAAACCATTATTATTTTATTCAATCATTGACCAAGAAAAAAAGAAGAAGAACCTAATAATGACAATAAATCAGAGAAAGAAAATCAAAAAACCTCTGATTGCTTGTTGTTGCTGAACCCTTGAAGCCATTTTAGATGATTAAAGAAAAACTCTTTCACTTCCAGCTTCTCTCTCTAAATTTCTCTTCTTCTCTCTGAGCAATGTCTTGATTGCAGAGAAAATTTTGAGAGATAGGAAAATAGTAAGAAAGGGAGAAAAACCCTTCTCTTTTTGAAGCTGAGGAGCCAACGCTTCACTTCCAACGGTCGAATTTATTTTGATTTTGATTCGTTGGATCAAGGTTTGATCCTACGATCTGGAGAGCGCCAGAGTTTTATAGCCGTTGGTGTGTGGGATAAAGTTACCTTTTTTGTTAAAAAATTATACAAGGTAAGATAGGAAGGATCGCTAATTATATTGTAAGTTTAATATAAATTCCGTGCTACGAGCTATATTGGCCGACAGCGTACATGAATTTGACTCGTGTCCATTAATGATTGTGGGTTGATGGAGATTCGGTGATATGAGTGTAAAGGCCGATTAATGAGTTGTTTTTTGTATCTTTGATATTTTTTTTTTCCTTTTAGCCTATAAATAAATAAAAATAATCTCGTAAAATATTTATTTTTTATTAATATCAACTATTTTTTTATTTATAAAATAATGTACATTGATTAATTTAAGACTTTTTAAATAAATAAAATATTAAAAATAAAAAAAAATATTAAACAGAAATATATATTATGATTGGGACAATCTCTATCGAGATTGAGTCTTTCTTCAGATTTTTCAGCTTAAATTTCCACAAAATTTATTAAAGCAAATCTTAAATTAAATTTATTTAATAAATTTTGTGGAAATTTAAGTTGAAAATTAAATTAAATTTATTTTTCCCTTAAATTTTAAAGTTAATATTCAAAAAAAAAATTCTATTTATTTGGATGTTTATTGTGCTTAAGAAAATATAATTACGGTTAACTAAGAAAAAAATCTTTAGTTTAAATTATTATATCAATAATATTTAATACAAAATAATTTTTAATATATA